AGGCCCCTGCTTGGGGGGGGGGGCCTTCCTCTCAACCCCCCCCCCCGCCCTTCTAGTCCCCCGCCCCAAAATTAATTATATGTCTTTAAATTACGCAGAGTTCAAAATTAAAACACCCAGCATCTGAATAGCCAGAATAAATAAAGCTTTGGGGAAATCCCACAAGCAGGCGGTTAACAAGGAGTCTAGGAAAGGAAACCAATCACCTCCTGGCGCGAGATACAGTGCTGCTGCGCATGGAGGCTCCATTCCTCTAATTAAGGTTAACAAATAACCTAATTTTTTTTTTTAAAAAAAGAAGAATAAATCCTCCTACATTAATTCACTCCACAAAAACTGCCAAAGGCAAAGAGCGCCAGAAACAGATCATGATTATATTTGCGCATAACACTTCCTTTGGCTCACAAGTCGTCCAACTCCTGAACTACGTGAGCTGGTCCGCCACTGAGTACATATTGTGTGTGTGTGAGTGTGTGTGATGCACTTGCGTGGCCCTCTCAGCCTTCTTTCCAGAGATTTGGCAAAAATCGCTGCTTGAAGATAGCGGGCCAAAGCCCGCTCCTCCCAGTTCTGCAGCAAAACCTGCGTTCAAAATCGGTTTCTCCGAGGCTGCATCCCCACCATTAAAAAAAAGGGGGGGGGAATTCTTCCCACAACAAGGGTACCGTGGGAACGTTTGGGGAGACCCTCCAGCATTATTGCAAAGGACTGAAATGGAGGCCACCGTGCCGGAAGGGCCCCGGCCGAGCGACTCTGTCATGCCGGAGAAACTTGAAACGGACACCGCACCTGAGGTGAGCTCACCAACCCAGCCGGTGCAGCAGGCCGAACGGAACTCGGCAACAAGGCGGGGCGACCTTTCCTCTCTCTTGTGCAAGGCCGAGTAAACAGCCGTGACGCCCCCGGATTTGGCATTCCTTGCCAGAGAAATCTAGCACCTCCAAAGTGCCAGCGACACCTTTGACTCTCCCTGACCCGGTGCGCCAAGAAAGCCAAATTCCTGGTTGTTCGAATCACCACTTGGAGCGTTTCCATGAGAGCTAGAAACTTCATTTCAAAAACAAAAACACACCAAAAAAACCCCAACCAATAAGAGCGTCAAGGCGTGGCCTGGGTTATCAAAGACAGATTGCAAAAGGAGATTAAGTGGGTAGGTAGTCAACAAAGGATGGGATAACGCAAAAAGATTTGGGAAGGAAAGGAAGAAGTAGAAAACGTATTGGAGTTTCAAGAAAAGGGTGTGCCTGGCTGGCTGGCTGAATGCTACCTTCCTTTCCCAATCCAGGTTTCTCTCCCAAACCATCCACTAATTCAGAGGCCTGATCCGCATTAAGCGTCCTTATCCAGAGTTTGGGACAGCAGAGTTAGCAAAGCTAAACCGGGAATTGTTGCAACCGCAATGTGTTTCATGCCGGATTCACACATAAACAGCGAACCGTGGCTTGCAGGAATGGCTAGAGCTGGATTCACAACAAACTGTGTGTTTAGCAGGAAGATGTCCGGAAGCAACCCGGATCCAAAAACCTTGCACAGCACAGTTCCCCCCCTCCCAGATCCACCCGTGAGTCACCGCTGGGGAGTGTGTTTGTGTGCGCAACATTCTCCCAACCTGGACTCGCGCTAACCCCGGTTGGGCGCAAAGGTCTGAATCACCAACCATTCCCACTTTGCCATCCCCCAGGCCAGGCGAACCGAGCTCACGTTAATCATCAGCTCAGCTCCTGGAATGCAAACACCGAAACTGCTCCAGAAAGAGCCAAGCGGAAGAGGCCGCCAGTGCCTCGCAGCGCCCTGAAATACATGAAATGATTCTGAAAACTTTCCTCAGGCTCTGCCTGGAGAAGAGGACTGAACTCCCGGGCCTGTAAGCGTTCGGATTTCCGTTTCACCTTCCCCAAAATATCCCGGAAGCGCTTCTGGGATCCGAAATAAAAGGAATTGGTTGAGAATCTGTTGGAAAACAGGGGTTGGGTGTTAAGAAGCCTGTAATCCAGTCACTTAATCAACTAAGTTGTTAGGAACTTCACTTCGGCGTTTCACAACACACCGGGACATCTGAAAATGCTTTTTTCTGAAGAACCTGCCGCTCCCAAAATATCAAGATTATCTGGAGGGTTTTGAAGTTTGAGGAGGAGAAGTCGCTTGGACCGTTCAAACTATTATTGACATTTTTCTGCCATTTCCTTCCCAAAAAAATCCACCTGCCCGTCGTTCTACGGAGGTAAAACCCCGATGCTGTTTCCTTCGACATTTCTCTTCGTGCGTACGTGGGGTTATTGTGAGGCCACCGCAGCACAGATTCACCGTACTCTAATTAAAACATTTTTCAGTGCTTTATTGCGGCCACACGCTGTTCCAACGTTAAAACCAGGAATCAAAAGTTGGCAGGAACTATCCAGACTGCTGGATAGGTTCTTAAGTGTGTGTGTTTTCCAACAGAAACTCGAAACTTTCTCAAGAAGGGGAAGAAGAAGGGGAAAAAAACCAGCCAAACAGGTCCAGAGGGGGATAAGGAAAGGGGGAACGGATCAATAGAAATCAGTCTATATTCAACAAGAGAGAGTCACACAAGCAGTTGGTTTAGAAGGAAGGTTGGTTTATCCTAGTGAAACAGAATTAATTCTTATTTGTTTTTATAACAACAGGTACCACGATCAAACACCTCGCTCTCATCATATCCTGGCTGGACTCAGTGGGAAGATATCCCAGATATATGATTTCTACCCGCTAAGAATAAGGGCAGCCTGTTTTTAAAATGCTATAGTCATCATCAACAAAACAATAACAAACCATTAAAACAATAAACATTTACTTTAACCCAGAACTAGGGCTGAACTAGATGACCTCTCTGGACCCATAGCCCAAAGCACCAGGAATGTGGCGCACACACAAACACACACACACACCAAATGTTTCCAATAAAGTGTGGGAAGTCTTTTCCCGGTTATCTCACATTCCAGTTCTGGCTACTCCCATTCCCTTCCGTGCTCCCATCTCTCCGGCTGTGCTTGGTTTGGGATCAGAGGTCACTCAACCTCTGGAAAAACCGCATTCCCCGTCCAGATTTAATCTCTAGAAATCCCACCTAGATAAGTNATTGCTATTATAAAAAACAGGAAGTTCCTGTTCGTATTGTATTGTATAAATGTGGTGTACGTCTATTTTTTCTGTGTGTGTATTTTACATGTTTGTTAATAAAAATCTTTTTAAAAAAGAAAGAAAGAAAAGAAGGGGAGACATGATAGCAGTGTTCTGATATCTCAGGGGCTGCCACAAAGAAGAAGGAGTCAAGCTATTCTGCAAAGCACCCTGGGAGGGCAGGACACTGGGTGGAAACCAGTGGTGGGGTCCTAACTGGTTTACTACTGGTTCGCTGAGAGAGGGTGTTTTGCACCCTCTTTATCTTGGACCAGTTTGTGCCATTCTAAGGAGAGGAAAGACAGAATTGCACAAAACAGCCCAGACTGATTAATCCCGACCTCCATTCGGGGGGGGGGGGGGCATGTCTGTCCCCACAGTGGAGCATTATGGAGATGGCCTGGAAGGGAACATCCAGAAGCTCTACAAAAGCAACAAGGGCAGAAACACGGTCGGAGTCCTGGGAAAGGAGAAATAACACATATGAACCCCGTGCACCAAATCAGATCACTACGCCCCAGGATACCAGGAAGGCCCTCCGGTGGGAGTCTGTTTGGGGCTGCCTTCCTCCCCTCCATCTTATGCCCCAGGAAGGAGGTAGCCGGAGTCTCTTCTTTCCCTTCTGCCCCTGCTGCTTCTGGAATGGCTTCGCCTGAATGTTCCCTCCAGAGTCAGCTCCACGGAAAGCCTCTTTCCTGCACCATGGTTTGCTTCCTGGGTGAAAAAAGGGAGCTTTCCCCCATCCGCCAAACCCAGAGGGGCAGGAAGAACTCTCACCTGCATCCACAACAAACCGGACCCCATCGATGGTCACGGAAGTCTCGGCAATGTTGGTGGAAATGATGCACTTCCGGACTCCAGGTGGAGCGAGGTCAAAGACCTGAAAGGGAAGGTCAGCGGTCATTAAGAGGTTCTGGGGTGTATTGTTTTTTTTTTTTAAAGTAAATCGCATCTCTCTAGCCAGAGAAAGGCAACAGAAACTGCCACAGAAACCTGGAAATCTGTCCTTAGCTGCCACCCCACAAAAACTCTGACTCTACATTTGTGAACAGCTTAGAGAGTGAAGGGCTATGGGGTGGTATGTCAGTCAAAGTGCCGTTGCTAAGATTTCTCCTCTTTCGATGAAAAAAAAATGCAAGGATATCAAAACCCAACAAGCTGAAAGAGCCCCAAAATTCCAGCCACACCCCATCTGGTGAGATCACCACACTGGATTTAATTGGCCACTGCTCTCCATAACAATCTTCCCACTGTTGAAAGCGGGATGAGGCCGTTTGCCTTCCGCAGCCCTCTTCCGCTCACCTTGTCCTGCTCGGTCACAGAGAGGGTGCTGTGCAGAGGAAGGGCCACCCAGCGCTTGGTGAAGGCCGCGTAAGACTGTGCAGCCTCCACCACCGCCCCAATCTCAGCCACCCCGCTGAGGAAGATGAGCAGGTCTCCCCTCTCCTCTGGCGGGTACTTGTGGTCAATGGCCTGAAGCACCCGTAGGAAGGGCTGCACGCCCAGTCGCTCCCTGCGCCCACGGCTGCTTTCCTCAGGGCGGATGGGTTCATAGATGACCTGCATGGAACGGGAGGTCACGTTGGGCCGCCTGCTCTGCCTTCAAACTACAATTGTAAGCCTATTATTAATTCATGTATGAAATCCGCATGCTACAAAAGTGAGGAACAACAAACAGAAGGGGCTTCGGCCATCCTTGCCAAAAGCCCTCCAGAACACCAGCAGGCCAGGCCTTCCATTTCTCGGGAGAACCTTGCTCCAAAAGGCAGGCCTGCTCTGGACAAGTTTCTGGGGGGGTCTTCGAGGGCAGCCCCAGGGACAGTGAATTGCAGTAGCCAAGCCACAAGGAGACTAGCCCCTGCGTGACTGACTGCACGGCCTTCTACTCTGAGAAAGAGCCCAATGGGCACCTCAGCTGAGTTGTGCAAAAGCCTTCACTCTGTGAGCAGGAATTGAGAATCCAGGAACGTCCCCCGATTGTGCACCCATTTGAATGGGGACATGTCACCCCACATCCATAGAACACCCCCAGATCTGGGTGACCCAAACACAGCCACTCAGTCCTGGTGGGTTTGGGGACAGCTGCTCCCCAGCCAAAGCAGCACAGCCTCTAAGCACAGGGCAGCCGGTCGGAAGGTGCAACACCAGCAAATTGATGATACCAAACCCAGGAGCTCTGTGTAGATGCTGACCAGGTGGGGGGAGCAAATACAGCCCCCAAGACCGCAAAATGGGCCTTCAACACAACCCGCATGGAGCAGCCCAGGAGGACCCCGTGTGGAAAGCCGCCCCTTGAGAGATCAAGAAGCACAGCAACACAGCGGCTGGATGTTTGGAAGGCTCCCTAAAACAAAGGCCCCTCCTCATTCTGCCCCCTGGCTGGGAGGGTCCCAGGGCAGAAGCTGCAGAGGCAGCCTTGGGACGGCCTCCCCCCCCCTCTCCCCCATGTTCCCCTCCCCGCATCCTCCTCACCGTGATGGGGAAGAGGCGCCCAGGGACCTGGATGACAGGAGCCTCCCCAAAATAGTCGGCGAAGAGCCGGATGTTGATGGTGGCCGACATGAGCACCAGCTTGAGGTCGGGCCGGGAAGGCAGCAGGCGGCGCAGGACACCCAGCAGGAAGTCGCCGTGCAGGTGCCGCTCGTGGACCTCGTCCACAATCAGCACCCGGTAGGCGGGCAGCGTGGGCTCCCGCTGGGCCTGGCGCAGGAGCAGCCCTTCGGTCAGGAAGACGATGCGCGTGGCCGGCGAGCGGGCGCTTTCGAAGCGGATCTGGTAGCCCACCTGCGCGGGGAACGGAGAGGGGTCGCTCCCGGCCCCGCGCGGCCCCCCGCCCCCCGCCCCGCCCGCCCGCCGCCCGCGGGCCTCACCTGCTCCCCGAAGCGGCCCAGGCTCTCGCGGGCCACGCGNGGCTTGCTCCTTTGCCCCGTTGAAGGCTCAGGGCGGGATGAGGGGTGGGGCAGCATGCCAGCTGGGCAAAGCGGGCACAGGGGCGTCCCTGGACTTTCAACAGAGCCCCGTCCTCTCCCGCTGAGCCGGACTGCAACCCCCATGGTCCGCGGCCGGCAGCCAGGCAGAGAAGCCCCCCACCCATCTATCCGCGGACCCCTGAGGAGGGGAGACCCACGCCCTTTCCCCTTCCCATCCCCTCGGGCTGGGGGTCGGACGCCCCCTCCCCTCCAGCCTCCTCGCCCGCAGCAAGGGGCGTCCGAGCCAGCCCGAGGGGATGGGAAAGGCGTGTCTCCCCTCCTCGTGGGTCCGCAGAGCGATGGATGGATGGGGGGGCTTCTCTGCCTGGCTGCTGGCCGCGGACCATGGGAGCTGCAGTCCGGCTGAGCTGGAAGCAGCCGCGGAGGTGCCGGCCGGGGGCAATGGGCGGTGTAGTCCTGGAGGAGGGGATGCCAAGAGAGGATGCCCCCCCCCGGGGGGGGGGCAAAAGGGAGGCGGGAGTCTCTCCTTCCCCCTCCCTCCCGCAGGACACTCAAAGGGACGCCCGTCGCTATCCGGGACGGCGGGGAAGCCCAGGAAGGCAGCAGAGAAGAAGGGAAGGAGAAAAAGGAGAAAAAGGAGGAGGAGAAAAAGAAGGAGAAGGGGACGGGGAAGCCACCCACCCGCTGAGCCCCCCGTCTTACCCGCCCGTCTTCCTCGCCCACCCGCCGCTTCTGGCTCCGCTCCGCTTCTGGCCGCCGCCCCGGGCGGGCGCAACCTGTTACCTGAGCCCGCGCCTCGGCCACGCCCCCGGCGCTCCCCATTGGCGCAGCCCGCGGCGCCGCGCCACGCCCCTCTCCCGCCGCCTTGCCTCCTTTTCCGCACGGGCGGGGCCCGGAGCCCTAGCAACCGGGAGCGCAGGCCGCCGCCGCCGCCTCCCTAGCAACGGGGCCTGGGAGATGCTGCAGAAAGCGGGCCCTTCGTTGCAGGAATTGAAAGTGGAGAAATCCCCCCCAAAACACACACACACACACACACACACACAAGGATCAGGATCAGCTGCCTTCCTGTGTGGGATCCCAAGTCCCATTCTCCCCAGCTGCAACGTTCCCTGGTCCAGTGTGGTCCATGGTGCTCAAACAGGTGCATGGTTCATCATAATCCATGGTGCCCATCTTC